TCTAATCAGTTTGGGCTGCACATATCATAACTGAGCATATCCTTAAAGCTGGAGCTAATTTTAATGCATGAAAACAAAATGATTGAGAGAGGAACCTGCTAAACCGCTGCTTTTCTAATAAGAAGGAGGGGAAGTCTGCAGTGACCTCACAAACAGAGGACCCGAAACGTCAGCACAACCCAACAGGAAAGGTTTTATAGTTTGATTTACTTTTATTGACAGTGCCAATGTCTATTTTATCGATTTTATTGTTGTTTCATTTAATGCACTTTTTGTGTCTTAGTAGGGTGTCCTTGATTGCTAAGAGGATGGCTTTGTGAATGTAGGCTGAGGTCATTAACCTTGTAAAAAACAGGATCTGTGGGGCAGGTGACAGTTGTAGCCCGGGGCACAGAAACTGGGTCAGAACCAGAGGCAAATATAGGCTTATAGATCCAGGGGAGAAGCAGGGGGCAGAACTCAGGAGGCAGAACCCTGGTCAGTGTCCATATATCTGACAGCAGGAGATTGTTCAGGGTATGCAAGGCAGTAACAAGGAATCCTTGGGTTAGATAGGCAGGAGAGCAGGGGGTAATGAGGATTGATGAGAAATGGCGGAGCTGCACGGGTGGGGAGAATGAGTGAAATGATGGCAGGAGCACAGCTAAATGTAAACAAACCAGTTAATTTGCCAGAATCTGAACAGAGGATCAATTTACCTCTGTAACCTCTGTGAAATCTCATCTCAGACCAGCTGTCAGTAGCTATGAACTAAGGCACTCACAATCAGCCCTCAGCCACACCATCTCACTAACCTGGGTAACATCACAGTTTTGACGTGATGGCGATGAGAAAAGTACATAAAGTAGTTGTCGTGGGAAAAAAGTATTCAACTATTCACCCTAGTTAATTAAACGGAGATCGATGGATTTCACTCAGTCGGCACATTTATTCATATCTTTGCAAAGAGAAAACAGTTCATCACACAGCCCTAATGGCACAGCATTCTACCCTGTTCTGCTAGAGCAGCGTTCGTCCCCCCTTTCTTACAACAATGGAAAG